GAACTCTTACTGAATTATGCCAAAAAATCACAGTGATCTAACATCAAAAATTTTAAATGATAAATCAGTTGATAATTCAATTAGATCCTCTTTCAATCATGTTGTAAGCAAAGAAATAGGAAACTTCTACCCTGCAAAAGAGTTTGTTACCTGTTCATGAGAGTCATTCACTGTCTCAATTTCTGGGAAGTGTACTGCAAAGACTTATCAAATGCTTATTAACTACATAGACTTTTTCACTTGCCTTAAGAGGTAAATTGCATAACCCAAATTCCTCAGAAAGGGCTAAGAAAATCTCTTCCAATACAACATGCTTTGATAAAATGCATTTATCTTATCATGTGCTTTAAGTATATCTTAGCCAAACACTTGTCTCATTCAACTTCTGGGAAAAGCATTATATATTACCTAAGTGGCCAAGTCAGTCTTCATTGTTAAATCAGTAAGCTACATCAGACTTTCTTTTAGAAAGACTTTATTTTGGAAAGCTGGAATAGTGTTTTAAAATCAAATGTATTGACGTATGAATTACATACAATAAAATGCTCACATTTAATTTACAGTTCTTGAGTTTTGACAAATGTATGCACCTAGGTAACCATCACAACCAACATTTCCAACACCATAGAAAGTTCCTTCCTGTGATATTGCAGTTAACTCCATCACATCCCCAACCCCAATCTCAGGTAACCACTAATTTGATTTCTCAGAGTATAGATAAGTTTTGCCTGTTCTAAAACTTCATGTAAATGTACTCTTTTTTTAAAAAATATTTTATGTATTTATTTATTTTGTGAGGAAGATCAGCCTTGAGCTAACATCAATGCCAATCCTCCTCTTTTTGCTGAGGAAGACTGGCCCTGAGCTAACATCCGTGCCCATCTTCCTTCACTTTATGTGGGACGCCGCCACAGCATGGCCTGACAAGCGGTATGTGGGTGCGCGCCCGGGATCCGAAGCCGGGCCGCCAGCAGCAGAGCGCAGGCACTTAACCACTACGCCTTGGGGCCAGCCCCTAAATGTACTCTTTTTGTTCTATCTTTTCACTCAGCATGTTTTTGAGATTCATCCATGTTGTTGCTTGTGTCAGTCGTTTGTTCTTTTTTATTCTGAGTAGTATCTCTTTGTATGAATATACCACAATTTATCCACTTATTTGCTGCTGAACATTTAGGTGGTTTCCTGTTTTTGAATATTATGAATAGAGTTGCTATGAACATTCTTGCACAAGTTGTTTTTGTTTTTGTGGACCTCTGTTTCATATAACCCACATAGTCATATAATCCTGGAATTGCTTGGAAGGACGTTCAAGATATTTAACTTTACAAAACACTCCCAAACTGTTTTCCAAAGTGCTTGTACCATTTTACATTCCTACCAGCAATATACAAGAGTTCCAGTTGCACTACATCCTCTCCAACACTTGGTATCATCAGTCTTTTTAATTATAGCAATTGGAGCAGGTGGGAAATGGTATCTTATTGTAGTTTTAATCTGCATTTCTCTGTTGCCTAATAATATCACACATTTTCATGTGCTTATTGGCCATTCATATACCTTCTTTTGTGAAGTATTTGTTCAAATCTTTTGCCCAGAGGCAACATTGCAACTCCATTTTTCAATTCAAATGAACATGTTAATATGAATCCCTATGACAACTATCTTAATTCCAAATTCTAATTCCAAGATTAATTCCAAATTCTAAGAGGTGAAGACTTTTCCTGAGTTTGTCACCTGGATGACTTCAAACTTTTTCTATATTCTCTTAGAACTCTCCTCAGGAGAGATGCTTCTTTAATAATAATTGGGGATTGGAAGAAGCAAATTTTCATCACTTTCCACTATACAACATGCCTGAATTCAAAATACCTCCAAATGGTGCAAACTGCCCAAATCTAATGTTAGGTTTTGCTCTTGACAGAACTGCACTTAAGACAGAACTACGTATAAGACAAAAAGCGTTTAATCAAGGAAGCTTGGGGCCAGCCCCGTGGCTTAGTGGTTAAGTGCGTGCGCTCCGCTGCTGGCGGCTGGTTCGATCCCAGGCGCGCACCGACGCACCACTTCTCCTGCCATGCTGAGGCCGCGTCCCACATACAGCAACTAGAAGGATGTGCAGCTATGACATACAACTATCTACTGGGGCTTTGGGGGAAATTAATTAATTAATTAATTAATTTAAAAAAAAAAAAGGAAGCTTGGTACTATTTCAGTTTCCCTTTGTTGGTACCCCAGAAGTTTTTACATAATAGAGCCATGCACCACAATAAAATTCAAGGTGAGAGGTATGCCATTTTTCTGTAAAGTGGAAAAAGGTGAATAGTGAAAAGGGAGGTGAAATGAACTATCTTGATGACATTTCCTGGGAAATCACTTCTTTTTAATTGTGGTTAAATATATATAAACTACTTTTAAGTGTATAGTTCTGTAGCATTAAGTACATTCATATTGTTGTGTAACTATCACCACCATCCATCTCCAGAACTTTTTCATCTTTCCCAACTGAAATTCTATACCTGTTAAACACTAATTCTCCACTCTCCCCTTCCCCTAGTCCCTGGCAATCACCATTCTATTTTTTTTCCCCCCAAAGCCCCAGTAGATAGCTGTATGTCATAGCTGCACATCCTTCTAGTTGCTGTATGTGGGACGCGGCCTCATCATGGCGGGAGAAGCGGTGCTTCAGTGCGCGCCGGGGATCCGAACCCGGGCCGCCAGCAGCAGAGCGCGCGCACTTAACTGCTAAGCCATGGGGCAGGCCCCGCACCATTCTATTTTATCTCTATGAATTTGACTGGTACCTCATATAAGTGGAATCATACAATATTTGTCACCTTGTAACTGGCTTATTTCACTTAGCATAATGTCTTCAAGGTTCATCCATTTTGTAGCAATTTCCTTCCTTTTTAAGCGTGAATAACATTCCGTTGTATGTATACACCACAGTTTGTTTATCCATTCATCCATCAATGGACACCTGAGTTGCTTCCACCTTTTGGCTCTTGTGAAAAATGCCACTAAGATCATGGATGTGCAAATATCTATTCGAGTCCCTGCATTCAATTCTTTTGAGTATATACCCAGAAGTGGAATTGCTGGATCATATGGTAATTTTATGTTTAATTTTTTGAGGAATCCTGGGAAATCACTTTTGCGAAAATGAAGATCTAGATATAAATTCACTAAAGTTTCTGTGCTCATGTATCTCTTGTAAAGTCTTTATGTACCACAGATTGAAAATTACTGTTGAGTCACACCTTGAAACATAAAGGAGGTAACGTAATGTATGGTGGGAAAAGCATGAATTTGGAGTAAGATTGGGGTGTTCAGACTCCAGTATTTACTTAGTCCAGAAACTGAGGGCAAGCTACTTCCCTCTCCAAAGTTTCCTTTTCCATAAAATAAGGCTAATAATACCTATCCCATAGGACCATTGATGGGACTTAAAGAGAATGAAAAGAACCTACCATAGAGCTTGGCAATTCACTTGAAAGTACATTGTTTTAAGACCTTGGTACACAGGACTGAGGAATAGCCTCTGCCCTAGAGTATGGCCGCCCGATGACAGCCACAGATATGCAAACAGGTCAACTAGAATATAATGTGGTGTGGGGTCAAGATAGGTGTATTGGGGGAGAGGGGCATTTTATCCTTAGGAGAAAAGTCAGTAAAGTTTCTAGAAGAGGTGGGTCAAAATGTGAAGAATGAGTAAAAACAAAAGATGTTTTAGGCAGAGGAAGCAAGCCAAACACACTAAAGCATAAAAGAGCATGTTGTGAGGGGTAACTTGAAGCAATTTGGTGTCATCACAACACAAAATGCAAAGACATGAATGGGAACAAATGAGGTTGAAGAAGTAGGCAGCTCCTTAAAAAACCATGGTAAAGATCTTGACTTTATCCTGTGCCTTGGTTTCCTCATATGCTTCAAATCTTCTTCTATGAAATGGGGATTATAATACTACCTTTCTCACACGGCCGTTGGGACTAAAGGCAAAAGAAATGGGATAACACACAAAAAGCACTTAGAAGAGTGCCTGGCACACACTGAGGCTCAAATATTTCCTAATGTTAATACTATTACTTTGAAGGTGGCGGGACAGGTTTCAAGCAGGGGGGTGACATGGTCACATTTGCGTTTGGAAAGATCACTGAGGGAAGCCAGGAGGATGGACTGATTGTAGGAGAGAATACTGGAGGCAAGTAGGCAAGTTACAAGGCCATCGCAATAAATAGTCTAGGAAATAGAGAAGGTCTGCCCTGTGCTAAAACAGTGACAGTGCGGAGGGAGGGAATTCAGGTATTTAAAAAGTAGAAGAGGGGCCAGCCCGGTGGCGCAAGAGGTTAAGTGTGCGCGCTCCGCTGCGGCGGCCCGGGGTTCGCCGGTTCGGATCCTGGGCGCGCACCAAGGCACTGCTTAGCAAGCCATGCTGTGGCGGCGTCCCATATAAAGTGGAGGAAGATGGGCACGGATGTTAGCCCAGGGCCAGTCTTCCTCAGCAAAAATAAAATAAAATAAAATAAAAAGTATAAGAGGTGAACTCTGATGCCCATTTGAATGTGGGTCACACAGGAGCGGGGAGAGTCCTAGATTAGGCCCTCAAGGTTAGTTTTCTTCCTGAAGTGACCTCCACCCCTCCAATAACAAAAAGGCCATCACAACACATTTTCTTTTAAAGTTTTATTAAAGTTCAATGGGAAAATTAATATTTTCTTTTTTTGTTAACCGCAGTACAAAAATACAGTTGACAACTTAACAAAAATGGCTCCACCTAGGGCTTGAAGGTTTTAAGTTTCTCCAACAGTAACAGGGAAAGCATGCTTCCAGCTGGGGCTGAGTCAAGCACACAGTCATTCCTGCACACGCATCATGAAAACAGGGAAGCCCAAGCAGGAGAAGAGAAGGGAAGCTGCAGGGATTCAGGAAGAAGCCCAAGATTATTCCCAGGAGAAAAAGAGAAGAAACAAGCTAGTGTCCTTGGTGGGGGTAGAATTACTGATTTTCTGCAATTTTTTTAACATTGTAGAAAAAATGCCACTGGTCTCCTTTCACCAAGGTGAGTACAGCGGGAGGAAATGGAAAAAGATTCAAATACTTAAGTATGCGGAGTAAACTTCCAAATGGCTCAAGTTTTGTGTCAAAAGGTGTTACTCTTTACATTCAATGACAAACAGATGTTCAGGTGAGAGGGGGCAGGAGAAGGAAGTCTGCCACCCTCTGCTGGATCCACAAACATGGACCAGCTTCTGCTAGCAAAACTCTTCCACAGTGAGAGAGCTCCTTCCCATGAGGGCAGGAGCAGGGTCTCCTGGTAGGTTTATTGTTCACAGCGATTCCTTAATATTCCCTCCCCTGCTGCTTTTCTTTCAAAACACTAACTTTGATGAAAGAAGGGATACATTCATGTTACAACTCATCTTCAAGATGTTTCTCCCTGAAGGCATCACCCGTCAGCCTTTCCTGAGCTTCCTTCATCCCCTGAACAACTGTGAAATAAAAGTTGGGGGGAAAAAATATAAAGTAGGTCTTTAGTATTTGACATTTGACATCCAATATAGGATTTTTATGTTTTAGGAGAAATATAAGAGGAGCACAGGATCTGGACTCAAGGTCTAATTCTAGATTTTAGCCCTGGAAAGTCACTTACCTCTTTGAATTTGTTTCCTCGTCTACAAAACGAGATAATGCCACTTACATCACACAGGATTGTTATAAAAATTAAATGGAGAATGGGTAATAAAAGTGCTTTATGAACTAGGAAGTCCTACAAAAACGTTAGTAGTTAATTTGGCTTACCCTCCGGGATTAGAGTTGAACCGCTGTCATAGACTATAGATGTTCACTTGACACTAAGGGAGCAACAAACACCTTCCTACCATCCCCATCACATCTTTTGGGTGAATGTTGCATTTATTTCATTTCCTGTGGAGGTTACAGGTTACACCGATATGTGAGTGTGTGCATGTGCTGGGAGGCGGGATGGTCTTCACTGAAGGAGGTGGTCATTTCTAGTATCAACTATACATGGAAGAAGCCAAGTTCTCAGGCAAAAGAGAAACCTAGAAGGAAGGCCCTAGGTAGACGGGAGATGAAACTTGTTTATCTCAGGGCATCCCTTCAAGGAGGGCAGCTGTTTTGGTACAGACTCCCTGTACAATGGCAGGCCAGGAGTTAGGTTAAGCCAGAGTCTGAGAATCTCAGAAAGCAAGCCTATAACCTCATAAGAGCCAGGCAGTATAGTTTGTTATTTCCCTTTTGTTTTGCCTAAGCCTTTTGTAAAGCCAGGTTTGAATGTTCCAGTTTCAAGTCAGCTGAGCCACAGGGGATTCAGGCAAGGGTCTTGTGTCTACATTTGGACTAATGTGTTAAAGGAGGATGCCAAGGTGGAGATGGCAGTGGTAACCTGGATGAAGTTCTAAAGGGACGGTGAATCTCAAAGGTCAAGAGTTGGGGACCTAAAGTCCAGCTGCCCTTCTCCATGTGGAAAATTTCCCTCTAATACCAACCTCCAGTGATCTGCATTTTGGTAAGGAAGAAGACATTCTCCTTACCCATGGGAAAGAGAGGATCACCTCTCTAGATCTCTTTTCTCCCCCTATTCTGAGAAATAAGAGTTCCAAGGACTCAAAAGATAAAGTGATCAACAACCTAGCAGCATGGCAATGGGGGACACATGGCAACTTCGCAAACAACCCCCTTTTAAAGATGGCAGGGGGAACTGTGGAAGGAAAACAGTGACAGTACATGGCATGAATTCCAAACCCTGCTTCTAGAATGACTATGCTCCAGGATTAGAGAACAGAAAGCATGACTGCCTTGTGATTTCAACCTTCCTTCACCTGATTGTGCTGATGCTGCTCTCTCTGCCTGGAACATGCTTTTCATGTTCTTCTGCTGGCTAGGTCTCATTCTTCAGGATTCCATCCCATCATCAGCTTCTCTAGCAAGCCTTACGGACTCTCCATGTTGGGCTACACCCACCCCGCTTGCTTCCGTAGCCTGAAATGTCCTCCTCATACCTGTCCATAGAGACAAATTCTTATCCTTCTAGGTCCAGTTCAAGTTTACTATCTATAAAACCTTTTAGACTTGATCAGCTAACAGCTGGCATTCCCTTTCCTTTGCATTCTTACAAGAAGAGTAGCATTAGTGCAGGGGAAAAAATTAAGTTCTGGACTAAAATCTTGACTCTGTAACTTAGTAACTATGAGACCATGGGCAAGTGATTGTCTTTGGGAGATTCAGTTCTTCAGAGTTTCCTGTGGGTCAGTTAGCTCTCAATTGGATTCTAAGTAGCTAGGGAAGGGGCTCAGTCTTATCTTTCTCCTACATTCTACACAAGATCTAGCCAAAAGCTACTCATGCAGGAGATGCTCAACTAACATGCTGAATTGAGTTCCCCATCATAGACTGTGCATGGGTTCATCCTAGTTAAGTCTAGTAGCAACCCTCCCTCCTCTCTCTCAACATAACCATACCTTGCTCAGCACTGATGTAGAAATACTTGTAGCTGGGGTTTCCATTTTCGTTGATGATTTCAGGACGCACTTTGCCACTGGGATCTATTATAGACAAAATGGCACAGGGGTTGCAATAATCACAACAGAGAGGTACTTCAAACATCATATGGTACACTAGGGCTTCTGGGAAATGAGACCTGTCCATCTCTCACCACCTTACTCCTTGTGTTTCATGTTCCAGTCAATAAATTCCTTGAAGTTCCCTTAACATAACCCCTACTCCATGCTTTGGCATATATTGTTCCCTCTCCCTGGCATGCTCCTTTTCTGTTTGGTGATGTGGGATACTATATATATATATATTTTTAATTGTTTTTTATTTATTTTTTTCCCCAAAGCCCCAGTAGATAGTTGTATGTCATAGCTGCACATCCTTCTAGTTGCTGTATGTGGGACGCGGCCTCAGCATGGCCGGAGAAGTGGTGCGTTGGTGCGCGCCCAGGATCCGAACCCGGGCCGCCAGTAGCGGAGGACGCGCACTTAACCACTAAGCCACGGGACCGGCCCTGGGATACTATATTTTTATTTGTATCTCCCACAGATTCTAGCAGGATGGTGAGCAAATATTAGGTGGTCATTAAATATCTTTTATAAAATTGTTTGTGGAAAGACATTTGTCCGGTTATAGTATTCCATTGCCTCAGCTGCACTGTGGGGTCAAGGGTGGGAATTGTGGCTTATCTCTGTGCCTGTAGTGTCTAGCACCAGTCCTTGACACATGCCAGATGCACAAATGATTGCTGAATGAATAAATGGATGGTCAATACTCTGTCATTGCTCACAAAAACAGTTAGTTAATGGGAAAAGTTTTCCTTCAGACTTGACATTCTGGCATTCAGAACTCCCCCACTCTCTCTTAAAACTGGTTTTTGTTTTTAGCCATCCCAGTATAATTTCACTAGGTGAAGTCAGTGCCTTGATTCATTTCTCTCTCCTTCCACATCATGGATCCACAGATCAAGATCTTTCGCCTTACCCAGGAAAAGGATTCGTGGAATATAACCCCCATCAGGGCTGAAATCTTCATCCTTGGGCTCCTCTTCATCCTATTAAGTGTAAACCTCAAGTCAGATCATGTTCCCTCTCTCCTCAAAACCTTTCAGTGGCTTCCTCTCTCATAGGATAAAACCCCAAGTCCTTGCAGTGACCTACGAGGCCCTACATGGCACTTCTCTAACTTCATGTCTTGTTCAGTCATTTATTGTCAGTCATATTTTATTTTACTTACTTATTTGTCTGTCTCCCCATATTCAATTCCCCATATGTAACTTCAATGAGGGCAGGGAATTTTGTCTGTTTTGTTTATTGTTGATTCCCAATACCTACATTACCAACTTGCACATAGTATTTCTTGAATGCATGAATTAACAAGACTGATATCTGAGCTACAATTGTGGAGCTATAGTCCTCCCAGGAGACACAACCACACAATTAGCTTTCTTTGTAAGAAATCTCCAAAGTTGGAGAACCTCATTAAGACATTTCTGTTTCCTGTCAGTGGTGATTCTAACTTACCATAGAAAGTGGTGAGGAAGTCATATGCATAGGAATCAACAGTAATTTTGTCATTTATGGTGTCGTCTCCATTTCAGAAGTTCAATGGGGTCATTTCTTCAAACAGTTAATATAACTTTGCCTTGAGTGAGGTGTATTAGTATTCAGGCTATCCACTAGCTATATAAGCAATCCCTTAACTGCCTCAACATTAACTGTTAACGTGTGCAGAAGAGTCCCAGCCTATGTTTAAGTAAATGTTATTTTACAGAAACTTAATGTGACAAGGTGGTTGAGTGGTTAAGCGGATGGACTATTTTACAGAAACATAGGGCTAGAAGTATCATCATAGAGCATCCGAGCATCCCACATCTGAAGAGGCAGCACAGCTAGGTCATAGTACCTATTCTTATCACTTATTAAGCTCTATGATGTTGACTAAATCACCTAACTCCTTCAGGCCTAAGATGCATTTTCTGTAAAATGAGGATAGTGCCAATAGCCTAAAAATCCCTTCTAACTCAAAGACCTGGTATCCTGACTTGGGATTCTGAGACCTCTGGTCTATGTGAAGTACATAAAGAATATCTAATGAAGAAACAGGAACGTTGTACATATAAGCACAAAGTAGGTTTTCAACTGAATCATATTTTGCAGGGAGTTGTGGCCTGCAAGTGTGACTATACCTTTAGTTCAGCTATACAAAGATGTAAAACATGTCATAATCATAGACTAAAAATGAAAGGACCTTAAAATCTTGTCATCTTATCCAATGTCTCCTCTCCTACTTCCTCCCACCAGTGGAGGCTGGATGGCTTTCTACCATATCTGACGCAAGCCTTAGTATTAAGAGGTCAAGAGAAAAACACATACATACAAGTAGCCAGCTCTGCTGAATAAGATTTTATACCATTAATGATGCTAATTCTAAAATAGTAAAGACTTAAAATCATAGCAGAAAGGAGAAACTCTGGAAGTCTTACCTCAAGATTTACCATAACAAAATTATGGGAAAGTTCTGAAATTTCTGTAGACTCTGCAAATTTGGGCTTTAAAGCTAGGAGGGAAAAAGATTTTGGAATAGAAGAAAACATCATTGTCATATCCAAACTGTAATTTGCTGAGTTGATTCATGTAACTGACCTTTCTTTTTCCTTTTTTTTTTTTTTTTAATCTTAAGAACCAAAAATCAAGATACTTGAATTCTGGTCCTGCTTCTGCCACTTACTTGCATAGCTATGTGACCTTGAATGACTGACTTCATTTCTCTGAAGCTTTTACCTCATTTATAAAATATGGATAATGGCATACAAAAGAAAAAATTATTACTATTTGCTTTTTTACACATTTCAATAACTTCTATTGAAGAAATAGACAATAGAGTAACAATACTCTATCACTAATGTATATATATTATTACACTATTTACATTAATTTTATACTCTTTTTTCCAACTAGGATTTTATTAAGTGTAGCATACCAAACAAAAGAAAAAATCTGACTGGGGAGTGGCAAGGTGGTATAGCAAGAATACATGCTACCAAGTAAGATAATCTTGGGTTTTAATTTAGTTCCTCCAGAAAGACTTCATTAACCACTTCTCATGTCTCTCTCTGCACATTTCAGCTTCTTCTAATATTTACTGCCCATACGACTATTGTAGCACTTAATCCCATAGTCTACATATCTTAATTGCCTCACCCTCCAACCTCTTGCAAATGTAACTGCAAATTTCATGAGGGTAGGGAATCTATGTCATATATTTCTTTGGTATTCCTTAAAACAGTCACCAGTGCTGGGCCAAAGTCAGTGCTAATATTTTTCAAATGTTAAGTGTTAATATTTGAGAACACATCTGAGGTTTGATCATTTGCATTTACCTTTGCAAGCTCCACACCAGGACTTATGGATAATCACCATCAGGGGCAATCCACTTAAAAACAAAACAAAGAAATTATAATCTAGTAATTCCACTTCTTGAAATCCATCCTAATAAAATGACCAACTTATGAAGACAAAGATTAATGTACAGAGATATTCATGTAGTGTGATTACAACTGGGAAAATTTTAAGACAATAATTGAGTAATAGTAGATTATTATAACAAAATTATTGGTAAATTCTGATAGTCCTGTAAATTCTTCATATTTGGCTTTAAAAAATTATTGGTAAATTCTGATAGTCCTGTAAATTCTTCATATTTGGGCTTTAAAGGTAGGGACAAAATATTGCAGAATAGAAGAAAACATCAAATTACAGTATTTCTAAATGTTGTGGTTATATAACCATTTAAAAAATTAATAAAATTTTTCATTGTTATAACGTTAAATTAAAAACTAGAATATAAATTATCTAGTTTGCTTTTAATTATACAAATATAAACAGAGAAAAGAGCCTAAAAGGAAATGTACCAAAACATAATAGCAGTTTTCTTTGGATAATGAGATTGTGGATTTTATTATACTTTTTCTGTATTTTCCAATTTTCCTACAATTACATGTAATTTTTAGAATCAGGTAGGAAAAAGCTTTTTCTTTTTAAAAATAATTAGCAATATAATCTATCTGAACCAGTCTTGGCTAGATGAAGCTCTTAAGCTCTCAAGGTTCAAATGCCAATTTGCCAACCTAGATTTTAGGTTCTGCCACTTACTAGCTAACTCATAAGTCTGACTCCAAAACCAATGCTCTTTCTGACCATTACAGTTTACTTCAATTTAGAATAGCAATCCAGAATTCACGGGTTTAAACCCAACTCAACCAATAATCAACTAATTTAGAATAAGAGAATGAAGGTTGGAAAAGGCCTTAGAGGTTGCCTAGACCAAATCTCCATCTTATGCAGGAATCCTCTCTTGTATATCAGAAACAAAAGGTGGTCCAGATTGCCTGATGAGCAAGAAATACATCACCAGTCAAGGCAGCCCATCCTTTTAAGAGCTCCACGAACTTACAGAGCAATTTAGAATGTCTTGCTCCCTCCTTTATCCCAACCAAACTCCTATTGATCCTTCTAGAGCAGAGGTCAACAAACTACATTCTGCAGGCCTGATCTAGCCCATTGCCTGCTTCTGTAGGGCTGTAAGATACAGAATCTTTTTTATATTTTTAAATGACTGAAAAAGAATAAGTACCTCTAAAGAATAGTACCTTGTGATGTTGAAATTAAATGTAATTCTCATTTCAGTGTACATAGTTTTATTACAACACATTCACACTCATTTGTACACTGTCTATGGCTGCTTTTGTGCTGCAACGGCAAAGTTGACAAGCTGCAACAGAGACCCTATGGCCCACAAAGTCTAAAATATGTACTATTTGGCCCTTTGCTGAAACCTCGTTCTAGAGTGACAGTTCAAATGTTAACTCCTCTGTGAAGCCTTCCCCAAACCACCTTCTCCAACAGCTAGTTACTCCTTTCCTCCTCTGGGCTCCCAAAGCATTGTCATCATCCTCTAAACACCAGCCCTCTTCATCCTGGCAACATCTGTGTACTTGTCTGTATTTCTCATCCAACTATTAATTTCTCAAGGGCAAAGACTGTATCTAATTCATCTTTGAAAATCACAAGTGCTGGTATGGTGGGTACCTACCATTCACTTAATGAAATCAATGAAGGAATGACAGACAAGCTTAAATTGATATTTGTCTTGAAATACAGAAGGAAGCAGAAGTTATGGAAGTTGTCATAACCACTCTAGGCTAGACCAAAACATCTAGTCTCTCACTATCAAACTACTATTTCAGTCAATGGCATAACAGTGATACATGTGTATCTAAAATGTTACATTGAGTAAATTATATGAAGAACATTGTTACATTATGTAAAAGACATTTCAGCAGACATTCTTTTAAAAGACTTTATTGGATGAAATAATCTAGTAGTTATGTCTTTCACTTCCACTAGAACCAAAGCTTCCCAAGGACAGAAACCAGTGGATTTATCTGTGACCCCAGTCCCCAGGACAGAGATCAGCAAAAAGTAGGCACAGTACTCAAAAAACTGTGGTATGAAAGAAGGGCCAGTGCAGATATGGACAGTTACTCTTCACAATTGTTTTATTTTTATTTATTTATTTTTTTTTTTAAAGATTTTATTTATTCATTTTTTTCCCCCCAAAGCCCCAGCAGATAGTTGTATGTCATAGGTTCACATCCTTCTAGTTGCTGTACGTGGGACTCGGCCTCGCGCTGGACG